CCCAGTGTGTCCTGAAAAAATTCAGTTATTTTTTTAATTTTTTTAGTGTCATTCGGTAATGGCGGATAAAGCTCTTGTGTGAAAAAAGTGTGAAAAATGCCCTTAAGTTCAAATATGTTATTAATTTTTTTGAGCATCTTATGACTTCAAATGAAAAAACTACTATAGATCTGCGAGATCTATAATTTTCATATAAATTTTTTTTCATTTAATTTCGCAAAAATATGATTTGATATGATTAATATATCTTAGAAAAATCATATTATTTTTTTTTGAAATTAAAAAAAAAAATTATGAAAAAATTATAGATCTCGAATAGATCTAGCATTTTAGTTTTGATTTTTTCATTTGAAGTCGTAAATGCTCAATTAATAACATATTTAACTTAAGGGTATTTTCGTTTTTCAAAATATTCATCTAACGGCGTGATTTTCAAACTAAAGTTGTATGGATGACACGTGTAAAGTTAGTTATTTTTTTACCTACATTTAATGCACACAGGAATGCAAATCTTTTATAAAACATTGATGTGAATCGGAGAGAGATGCATTGCTGCATGCAATAGTACTAACGAGTACTCCCTCCGTTCCAAAATAAAAGACGTTCTCGCTTCCCGAGAAACGACTGCCGGCAATTATATATTAAAATATATAAATATTTATGCTAAGTAATTAGTATCATCGAAAAGATCTTTTTGTCTAGTTTTTTAACAAATTTATTTGAAGATGTAAATATTGCACGTATTTTTTACAAATCGAGTCAAACTTGTGGCACGAAAACCCAAAACGTCGTTTATTTTGGGACAAAGGGAGTACTACATAAAATTCAAACCAGAGAGGGCTGCACAGAGACCTGGCACCCTACCCTAGCTGGCTATGTGTGCAAATAATATGGGAAAAAATTCAAACCGCAGAAATGCAAATAAAATTGGACGGACGGAGTATATATGATGCATTAGAGGAATTACTCTACGTACTGACACAAGTCATGGTATTCTTATTCTTATCTACAAATGCAGATCATGACAGGTGGCTTCGCTGATGCTTAGCTCTCCTCCATATTCTGTTTCTGGCTTTCTGCTACCCTATTTCTGCATGATATACGCAATAAACTAAAATACTGTTCCGACTAATTATTGTGAAAGAAAAATATGGTTGTGTCTGAAATCACTGTTCACGTGAACAATAAACATGTGAGTGCGCTGGCCAGCTGGCCAGCCAGCCACCAGCCAGCCGAACGCGGCCGTAGAGGACAGCTGGGCTGAGCAAGTCGGATATTTTCCTGAGCTTCTAGAAGCCTGAGACCAGCATACTGTACACGCACACCGAATTGGCGACTAACACTGTTCGTTTCGGCCGAAACGATCGTGGATTATTACTGCTGGCTGGTTTAGTGTAAGAGAAAAATATTATTCTGACTTATAATCCACAATCGTTTACGACCAAGCGAACATGCTGTAAAGGAGTGTCTCAAGTGTCACGTAGACGTTACATTGAGTGTTTGGATAATAATAATAAAATAAATTATAGAAGTCTTCAGTAATTCACAAGACGAATTTATTATAACGTATCCGGGGCAGAGAGCTCCCGCTCTGTGCGGGGTCTTAGGAGCCTAATTAATCCATCATCAGCACATGATTTACTGTAGCCCGCATTGTCAAATCATGTACTAATTATGCTTAAAAATTTCGTCTCGTAAATTAGTCTAAATCTGTGCATTTAGTTTCGTAATTAGTCTATATTTAATACTCTATGCTTGTGTTCAGACATCCGATGTGATAGAAACTAAAGTTTAATTCGTGGTACTTGCATTGCATTGCAAGGTGCTAAGGCCCCGTTCGCTGGTCTGAAACTTGGCTGAAAAGTCACTGTTCCGGCTGAATTGTTGTGAGAGAAATACTATTCCGGCTGAAAAAAAAAGTCGAATAAACCGAATATAGGGTAAGTCGAACAGGGCCTTAAGCTTTCAGGTAAGTTGTTTTTTAAATTTATGCTCACATGCCCAGAAACAGAATATGGAGGAGAAACAAACAAGCCAACTCGTTCCACAAGGAACATTGACCCATTGTAGAATCTCCTGGACCAGTGTAGTCCAGTTGCACCGTCCTGGCATGACGTGCTCAGAGACAAAGAGTGAGTCCAATCGGCCCTGGAAAACTGAAGATGCGGCGGGTATAAAACTCATGCTGTTTTATATTTTCTGCAAACACAGTACTACAATAGTACAATCATGCTTCCGATTAAATTAATTTTTAAAATTTGATTAAATATAAAAATACAGTAATCTTTGTGATGCGTAATGAGTGTTATTAAATTAATAACGGAATATATTTTTAATGAAACATATTAGGAGATACAGATATTAATACTTCCATAAATCTAATTAAACTTTAAAGAAATTGACTCTTCAAAACGATACATGGGGAAATATTTTGGGATCAAGGAAGTATTCAATAAATTTTAAGATTGACAAAGTCACAATAAACATAACTAAATAGCATTGTTTTAGACAACCTGGTAGATCTCAAAATTGATAAAATTACCTTCGACGTCTTACTATCGAGGAGTACATCACCTAACACTAGGAAATAGCGTCGATAATCTTGAAATAAATCTAGAAAAATGTGAGTACTCATGCTAAAATGAGAATTTAAACCCAAATAGATAGGTTCCTCCACAAGAAACTTAACTAGCTAAGCCACCCCAGTTCTCTACTGCTATTGTTATACTCTCGTAGTACTTTAATTTCAGGAACGGTGATCCCTACATGTCCCTTTTATTTGGATCTTAACCAGAATGCCAACTATATAATTGCACGAGACCAGTTTTATGGTGATTGGAAAAGATAAAGTCGTTCATATAGAGAAATGAAGTTGTAAAAAACACATAGAGAAAAGTACTAGAAACGTACAAATAAGGTGGGCACACTACCAAAAAATATGGGATGAGTACCAAAAAAATAATTATTTAATTTAATAAATGGTAAAACTTAAATCCGTTTTCATAATTTTACTAAGTTATTATATGTGTAAAATCACACGCCTCTTCCACCCAAAGGCATCCTCAGGTTTTCGTCAGACCGGATCGGAGCAGCGTCCGACCTTCCCTCCCCTGCTGTTCTTGTCCCGTTCAACCAGTTTTTGGCCCATGAAGTTCAAGTTTTTGCCCACTAAGTTGGAGCTCGGTCCAATCAACCAGTATTCAGCCCACAAAATAGGAGTTCAGTTTGTTTTGTGCTAAAAAATTGTTTTATGGCTCTTCAAAAACAAATTGTTTTATGGGCACAGAACATTAGTTTTCGGCTTATCCTTTCTTTCTTTCGTTTTCCTCCATTGCATGACTATTTTTTTCTTTCCTTTTCTATTTTTCCTCTTTATTTGTTATGTTTTTTTTATTTTGATTTACTCTTTGTTTTTTCTTTACGTTACAGTACATTTCTAAGTAATCATGAGATGTTCTACAGTATGTTTATTAGGATTGCTCGTGTATTATGGATGGCATGTTTAATGGTGTATTTTCTATTGTTCCTACAGCATTCATGAGATGTTCAATTATGTGTTTTTTTTATTGTTCCCTCATGAGATGTTCATGGGGTACATCTCATCGTTTTCATTATATTATTGAGATGTCCCGTTGTATATTTTGTATTGTTTTATATTTTGTATTGGTCCGATAATATTCATTATATATTCTATGTTGTATCTTTATATTTTGTTTAAACTTTTATTAAATTTTTCTACTTTATTTTGTTATTATTTTTATTTTCTATTTTAGATATATTTAATAGTATTTTATGTTATGGTGATGTCCACTTGAACTATTTTCCCTATAATATATATAATAAGATTGTTCATAACGAATTGAATAAATCTTGGTCAGATAGATTTGTGTATATGTATTTAGGGCTTATTTGGTTGCTACCTAGTAGACATCTGGCTACGAGACACCCAAAATCGGGCTCCCGCCACCAGACACCCAAAATCAAGGGCCTAGGCTGCTGCCTGGTCACGCAAGGACGCAGGGTTCCCTGGCCAAGCAACCCTGCATAGACGCATATGTTCCTGTTCGTTTGTACGTAGTGTCCTGGTTTCATCTAACGTCTCTCAGGCTCCGAGTCCAGACAATTACGACATGTTTGCTTACAAACCTTGAGAACTAGAAACATACCATGCGTTTGCTGCGGAAATTACGGATGAATTAAAATAAAATTAGACTAAGGCCCCGTTCGACTAGCTGAATTTGGCTGAAAATACTGTTTCAGCTGAAATGTTGTGAGAGAAAAACACTGTTCCAGCTGAAAAAACAAACTGAATAGGCCTAAGTTACTTATAGGAAGGAATAAACTATTGTAAATCGATAGTAGTGGATGGTATGGCATACTAATGACAATAATTAAATACATGTAATAATGGATTGCTGAGATGGACTGTTTGTGTGTCTGAAATCGAATGACTATTGGAGTACAGATATAGATATGTCAGCCACCGCGCAAACAAACAACCCTCACCAGATACACGATTTCGTTGGCCTGGAGTCTGAATCACTGCTTGCATTGGACGGGCAGCTGCCTGACACCTGACAGGCAGCACTCAAACATGCTCTTATTAGCCCCGCAGCATCAGTGAGTCACTGACAAGCAAAAGACTGGGAGTGCAAAAGAGTATGCTTTTCAGATAGTTTAGTACAGCGAGATCGATGATGAGCTTCCTCAAACGAGCTTCACGATGGATTAGTGGTGCATATATAGTACTTTGTACTCCCTAGTTGCCTCTTCCTTCTTGCCTCGTCTTGGCTTAGCAGAAACTACCCGATCGAGCAGCAGTGCATCCTCATTGACCAACGAACATCCAGGAATGCGAATTTGTCGGCGATGCATACATGCAATTCATAGCACGCACCACCTGATCTTCCCGTTTTCCTTTCCCTTTCATTTGTTTTGCGTTTGTATATATATATATATATTTTGGCTGTCATCACGTCGTCAGAATCAGTGAAAACTTCTCATGTCTCCGCCGACGATCCCACCTGCCTTGTCCTCCAGATGACGGGCGCGATCATCATCCATACTGCGTATATACGACAAGTGCAAGCAAGCATTCATTCGTCCTGTCGTCAGTAAGCAGAGCACAGGCCCTGTTCATTTTTGCCGAAAAGCTATGGCTTTCGCTGATTTGTTGTGAGAGAAAAATATTGTTCGTTCGTTGAAATAGTACGACTCGTAACCCAAAGCGAACAGAGCCACAGCCATGGCCGCGAACAAGGAGCCAGTTCAGTTTAGGTCACTTACTGTACACGATTGCCGCCAGCCACTCGTTGCCGATACGAACCCACGTGCTCGCCCACCCGACGTCGATCGTCCACCTGCGGCGGCGGGTCGATCATGACATGAGACCATATTCGGGCTTGTTTGGAAATCCACCCCAATCCACATGGTTTGGGAGGACCAAGCCACATGGATTGAGGTGGATTTGTGTGTAGCCAAACAAAGACTTCAGTGGATTATATTTAGAGTGAGTGAGTTTTAATCTCTTCTCCCTTCTGAAGTTCTGATCGAGCTCACTTACCTCTCCATGGTGTGGCTCGCGTTCCAGCCGACGAAGATCATGGCGAAGTACATGGCGCCCATGGCGAACACCAGGTGGAAGAAGCCGAAGCCGTAGGGGATGTCGTCCTCCTCCGACTCCCCCTCCGCCTGCTTGAACTGCGAGTTTGTTTGTTCGTTCGTGCCATACGTTTCAGAGCTCAGACTTTCAGGTATGATTGGTTCAGTCTTCAGCTCAAATGAGAGTCGAGAGCACGCACCTGGAGGCACTTGGAGTCGATTCCCGTCGAGAAGGTCGCCGCCACGATGACGATGACGGCGATCACAAAGCTCTGCCAGAGAGATACACACACCTCTTGTCAGTCAGATGGCGATTCGTCACTAGTTTGTAACTGATATTATTTTCTCCTACTGGCTACTATAATGCAAAGGCAGAGCACCTACCATTTATGCTAAACAAAAGTTTGTAACTAAACTTTTTGGCTACTTTATTTAGAGCATCTTTAAAAGTTTGTCAAATTTTACTTAGCAAATCTTGTGATTTGCCAACTTCCAAAATTATATGTTAAATAAAAAAACAATCTATCTCCAAGAGTTTGGCATTTTTGATTTGGTAAAATAAAAAACCCGTTAACAAAACGAAGAGGCCCGCTAAGCGAACGAAGAGCCCCGCTAAGAAACGAAGAGCCCCGGATGCCAAGCCGTATACGCGCGCGTATATTTGCGCACGCGGAGGGAAGATTTGCCAAGTTGCTATTGGTGCCAAGTTGTTTTGCCAAACTGTTGGAGGCTATTTTTTTCTTGTTTTGCCAAAATTATATGGATGCCAAATTGAGATAGCAAACTTTTGGAGATGCTCTTACCGCGATGTTCACCCAGTCTGCGCTCGTGGCAACTGCCGCCTTCCTATTGCAAACCTCCGTGTGCGGCTCACTGTTGTTTTTAATTTGGAGGTAAAAGAGGTGAATTACGAAAGAAATCGTACTATGAAATGCTCTGATTAATTTCAGATGCAGTCACTATATACACAGGTAGGATTTCGGATCCCAACGATCTCACCTTCTGATCGCTGACCAGCACAGGAACACGACGTAGATCCCCATCAGCCCCGGCGCCAGGTACCCTGCCTTCACCTGTTTCATGGGCAGCAACCAACAATTCAGATGCAGTTTCAGTATCACAAGATTCAGACTACAATTCCAAGCGCCATTTTCAGCGCATGGATGTATGGATCTGTGTGCGTGTTGCTTGCCTTGGAGCTCGTGGAGACGAAGGTTATGAGCCGCACGAGCACCAGCGTGACGGTGATGAAGAGGATGTTGAGCTTGCAGGACGGGCTGGGCGCGTACCACACGTACATGAGCACGATCCCCAGCAGGGACCCCACGTACGTGACGATGGACACCACCTGAATCTGCAAGTGGCTGCGTGCATTTCGCAACAGGACGGACGGTGACAGTGCGTCCATGATAGGTACTGTAAAAATGCAAGAGCAGCAGCTGCAGCATGCCTGGGCTGGGCAGCAGCAGGCCAGCAGTGACAGTGAACCTACCATCTCTTCTGGGTGATCTCTGACCGGCACCAGTCGTTGAGCCACATGATGAACCTGGTGACGCTGATGAGCTGGATCACCAGGAACGCCCTGCTTGCGATTTCATTGATTCCGATCGAGGCAAGTTCATTAGGACATGCATGTTCTATCTATGGAACGAAACATAATCTGAAATGCTGAGCTGAAGAACACGAAACGTACCCTGCTCCGAAATGCGCCACCTTCCCTGCAGAGATTCAGAGGAACAGAACGGATCGAACGCCAGCATCGTCAGCAAGATCAGAAAGCTGTATATATCTGGATGGAAACATACATGATTGGCGGGAGTAAGTACTGACCGTAGAGCTGGACGAGCGGCGACGGCGCGAGGAAGGTGACGGCGGTGAGGCCGAGCCAGAGGACGAGCTTGGCCGGCCACCACTCGGAGTGCCACGAGTTGCGGCAGTCGTGCACCTTCCTGGTGTTCACGGTGGACAGGAACATGACGAAGAAGAAGAGGAAGCAGCCGAGGCTGATCCGCAGCACGCCCTCCGCGCCCAGGCAGTAGCGCGCGCCCTGGCAGACCTTGAGCCCTGCGCACGCACGAACTCACAAACGACATGGTCAGATCGATCGAGACGACGGCCGCTATATACAGCTTGTCGGTGGCATGCAATGCGCGTGAGTGATGCGCGTGTGCGTGCACGGGCATGAAGAACAACGGGTGGGTACGCACGCTGGAGCTCTGCGAGCGCGGAGTTGCCGTAGTCGCGGAGGGTCCAGGCGAGGAGGTTGGTGACGAGGAAGATGAGCGCGTACAGGTAGCGCGCCATCATCGGGTTGGGCCCCAGGAAGAGCCCCGCGCAGGCGCAGCAGCACCAGTCCTCCGTGAACCGCGCGCGCCTCCCGTTGCGCTCACCGCCGGACTCCATGTCGTCGGCCACGGCGGCAAGCGTCATCTATACGGCCGCCGATCGAGAACTTAACACCGCCGCCCGCTGCTCTCCTTTCCTTTTCCTGCACACATACAACGACGGGACACAGGGGGAGGTAATCAGGTAAACAAAGATTAATCCAGACAAAAACAAAAGGAGATTTGTTCACACGCAAGGGGCGTGATGCGTCTGAGCTCGTACTAGTTCGTTACGTACGTCTCGCTCGACTGACATCACATATCCTCGTCGCTGGCGGTCGAAAACGATGTGTTTCTTTGCGCCAAAGCATGGGCATGCATCGCCCAAAAGCATTGCATATATATATAACTTACTGCCAGTAGTGCCACTTATAACTAGTGCTATGTGAGCTGGGCACTTAGGTAGGCTGAGCCTAACAGTTACACTAGGTTCCAAGAAACTGCGCCGTTTTCCCCACGAACGCTAGCTAGTATCGTTTTCCTTGAAACAGTGCTGGCAATCAACTATTGCATTGCGTGTTCAAATCCAAATGCTATTCTGATTGAAGAGCTTAAGTTCCTAGTCAGTTTCAATTTTAATGAGTTTGCTTGTAATCACTTAGGTAGAGCTGGCCATAGAGCTGCCCATGCTTTTGCTGCTTTAGGTTATTGGTGCATCAAAAGGGAGGAGCTTATCACAAGTTCCATTCCGGATGATGTCTAACGATTTATCATTTGAGTAATGAATCAGCCAAGTTTCCAAAAAAAATGTCAAAAGGTTCCCTCCAGAGTCCAGAGCCCTGCAATTTTGCAAAGCACTGGAAAAGGCTAGCAAGATCCTGAATTCACCGCCTTGACAGGAATAGTGTTGACACAAGATTGATCACACACTAGCTAGGGCTAAATTAATCGTCTGTGTCGTCATGGACTGAAGAACACAGCCGATAACTATCAAGCTTTCGTGGTGAAGAGCGGCGATGCTTAAGAGAAAACCAGCAAAGGATAGCTATCGCAGAATGGCTAGTTGTGCTTGGGTGATGAAGAACGGCTAGCTTATGAGCAAATTAGCAAAGAAAACGTCGAAGCTCTCGTCTAGGAGGAATCACGTTGGGGCAAGGACATCCACGGGATGCCTTGGGCGAGGCTAGAGCGTCATCCTTTGTCGTCGGATCAAGAGATGAATAGCAGCATGGCTTGGAAAAAATAGTTAGGGAAAAAGGATATTATTATTAATTAATTAATTATATTAATCATATTTTAATTATATTAATTTAATTAATATAAAAATGTCGATTGTGTGTTGAATACCTCAATCGGCTATGTACCCCCTGTTCTATAGGGAGTAGGGGTGGATTTATCCCGTTGAAAAATCAATGTGGTATTATCATTATGTCGCTATAGAGTTTTTTTTTTAGATTGGGCTAAAACTGTTACGAGCCTATTTGAATTGGCATGGCCCCGTTTGAATGTCAACAAAGAGGGTATATACGTATGTAAAGAGGTGAAAGGCATTTGAAAGAAAAGCAGTGCGTGTGACGGGACGACCGGATAACATGAACACATATGCGCAATACCCGAAAAAATATAAATCAGCAGAGCAGAGAGCTTGGCTTTGGAGTGGGATTACGGTTGAAGAGGCGGGAACGAAAGCTCCGTGGACTGCCGGAGAGGATACACACACGGCTTTTCTGTGAATGTCACACAGAGCGCTTTGGATGTTTGTTGGGGGGTGGAGAATGAAAAGAGCAAATTAAAGCGGCAGGCAGCAGGCAAAGCATTGAGCCTGAATTCCTTGATGAATGGTAGTAGTAGTGTTGGGTTTGTTTTCTCCCTTTTTTCCTGGCGCAACTATGCATGCAAGTGAAGTTATTCCTGCAGTTTTCATGTAGGTAGCTAGTAAATTTTGTTTTTGGTAGCTAGGGTACGTTGCGTAAAGTCTGTAATGATCTAGTCTAGTACTTAAAGTAGGTATTAATCAGTTCTTCGTGTGATGCTCAAAAAAACACTTCTTCGTGTGAACTTTTTTTTTTCTTGTTGCATTTTTACTAACTACTGTTAATCATAATTCACCAACTGAAAGAAAAGTCACACAGCTCCGCCCTCAGCTTTTGTACGAGAAACTGAGAGCGCAGGAGAGGAAGTCATATCATATTTTTGGGCAGTAGTAGTCAGCGCACATATCCGACTGCATGCTTTTTCCTTTTCTCTGTAGAGCATATCCTGATCTTGGATTGTTGCCAAAAAGGAACATGGCTTACTCCCTACGTACAAAATTCAGTTAATCGTCTAATCAACAGCAACTACGTACGTACGTACGTTTGCAACCAACAGATACAACGTGCGTGCGTGTTTCCTAAACTTGCAAGAAACCCGGTCGAATAACACAAGGATCGTCCATCTATTTCAGAGAAATGCTACTGACGATGATTCAGTTCATCTCTTTGTCCTAACGAAAAGGAACCATCAAGGAAGAACAAGCACAGCTGATGCTGATCGAATTCAACACACACCTTAAAGGTAGAGCCGGACAGCAGGTCGATCGATCGTCGTCACCGCATTTCCATCCGGTTCATGATCCGGAAATCCGATTGCTTGCTCGATGCAGCTGCAAGAAACAACAAGAGTCGCCCGGCGGGGGCAAGAAAGCAAGGTTCATTACGACTCAAGCAACACATCTATGATATGATGCGGCGTGCCGGCGCGTGTGGGTTGCACCCCCGACCACGGAAAGCGAAGAGCCTAGAGAAATGATAGCGCGCCGGCCGCGCTTTCGTACACCGCAATAACGACGGAGCCGACAAGGGAGCAGGCGGTTATTGGGGTCGTAATCGTAACACACAAGCTCGCAGGAAGAAGCAGCAGATCGATCATGAAGCAACGACGACGACGACGACTCACCTGATGATGATGTGCCAGCAATGGACAAGCCCCGGCCTGGCAGTAGATAGCTAGCTAGCTAGCTAGTCTACCTGGAGGCGCGGGCGTCCACTGCGGCCACCGTACGTCGCTGTGCGTAACTTCCAGTGGCCGGCCTTCACCGAGGAGGGAGGAGGAGGAGGAGGGGCTGCTGGATGCGGCGGGAGAGGTGGTGGATGTGGGAGCGAGGAGAGCGAATAAGGTAGGGGTCTAGGGGAGGAAGAGGCGGTGGTGGTGGTGGCGGCGGCGGCGGTGGCTCCTTTGTTCCGCGCCGCAAGCGAGCGTGAGCGTGGCGCCGGTCCGGCTCGGGGTCGGCGCGGCGTCGTGTGCTGCTGCGTATCACAAACCAGATTCTCAGAAGGCCCTGTACTAGCGAGCCTCCTTGTGCGGTGCGATGCTGCGGTCTGCGGTATGCGGTGCGGCGGGGCGGTCTCTGTCTGGGCTGGGCATCTGTCTGCATCTCCCGCGGGCGCACCCGCGGCTTTAAGCCGCGCACCCGTTGCTGTAGTAGGCTGTAGCGCATCCTTTGAGTGGAGCGAGTGAAATCAATCCTGGTGTGCCTGCCAAGTGTTTTTTTTTCTCGAATACGCACGAGTGTGCATATCATTGTATTAGAAGAAAGAGTTTATAGTACAAGAGTTTCATTCCCGGCCGTTAGTTAGTTTCTGCGGGGGGCCACCGTAATCCATGTCTATCCTGACAAGGACCTAGCCCTGCGCTAGCGCACGTAGCCCGCTTGCTCCGGCCTGAATCCATCGGTCGGCTTCGTTCTTGATGATGTGCAGTAGGTCGCCGACGGACGATGTCGATTCCCGGAAACATCTTGCGTTCCGTTCCTTCCATAGTTGCCAGGAGACGAGGGCGAAGAGGGAGTCCATACCGTTTCGCCGATCGCCGGTGCACACTGACCGCAATCGGCGCCACCAGGAGAGCGTCGTTTGGGAGACTGGTGGAACTTGCTGCCCAAGCGCTTGCAGGACATAGTACCATACCTCACGGGTGAACGGGCATACTGCAATGATGTGGTCTATTGTTTCGTCCTTGGTCACGTAGCATAACTCATGTGCCTCGAGACCGTGTCTCGCCTTCGCCGCCGGGTCCGTGCCTTTTCTTTTCATGGCAAGCCAAATAAAGATCTTGATGCGGCGGAGCCCACGTTTTCCGATCAATGTATGGCCCGACATTCTGATGGATCCGATCATGTCATATGCCGATTTGGTGTGTAGCATCCGTCGTCGTCCAATATTTAAATGGTCTGTCGGGCTCATTGCCAAGATGGATGTCCCCAACGCTTGCCTGTAGATGTAGGTAATCCGTGAGCTCGAGCACCGAGAGGCCTCCACTTATGCAGCGCACCCCATGTGCTGTCCCGGAGAGGCCTTGTCGACCGTTAGCGTCGCGCCGCACCCGCCGTGAAAATTCTCGTGCGGTATGGGGCGATAGTGGCGACGCCCTCCCGTCGATCCACCGGTCTTCCCGAACAAAGCGTTTAGCCGTCGCCTAGCTCGTGAAGGTTGAAAGGCTTGGACCTCCTTGGAGGTCCGGATCGGCAATGGGTTCCACGCCCGATCTTGATCGGTTCTCTGCAGCCACAGCCAGCGTTTTTGTAGGGCGGCGGCCGCCGCGCAGGTCGCTGATCCCAAGTCCACCGAGCTCCTTCGACTGCACCAAGCTTTCCACGCAACCATGCACTTTCCTCTGACTGACTGGTCCTTCCCGGCCCAAAAGAATCGCCTGCAGATGCCGTCGATCTCTTTCCTTGCCCAAGTGGGAAGATTTTCTGCCATCATGGCGTAGATGGGAACCGCCCGTAGGACCGACTTTACCCAGACTAACCTTCCACTTCTCGCCATTAGCGAACCGTGGCTCGGTGGTAGCTTCCTGTCGACAGCTTGTACTAGTGACTGGTAGTGTGTTTTGGGGATTGATTTGGTACTGAGCGGCAGCCCCAGATACTTGATTGGAAATGTCTGCACTTGACAGCCGAGGATGGACACAATTTCCGGCAGAACGTCGTCGGCTCCGTAGATGGCAGTGACTGAGCACTTGGCTAGGTTTGTGTGCAGCCCTGTTGTCTGTCCGAAAATGCTTAGAATCTCTTTGATTGCCCTTGCCTCCTGGATAGATGGCCGTACGAAGAGAATGGCGTCGTCGGCATAGATGCTGCATTGGAATTTGATTTCCGAAGGGGCTATCTTTTTCAACACACCGTCATTTGCCGCCTTACTGAACAGTCTTTGGAGGACGTCCATTGCTATTATAAATAGCATCGGGGATAAGGAGTCCCCCTGCCGAACCCCTCTGAGGTGCCTGATGGGGTGTCCTTGCTGGCCATTCAGTAGTATCCTCGACGAGGCGGTGCTCAATAGCGTCTCGATCCAGCCGCACCATCTATCACTGAACCCGTGCGCTTGCAGTACCTCCAGCAGGAAAGGCCAAGAGAGGGTGTCGAATGCCTTGGATATGTCAAGCTTCAACAACAGCATGGGGATTTTCTTCCGCCTGATCAGCACTGCTGCTCGCTGCACGTACTTGTAGTTGTCATGGATAGAACGGCTTCTGATGAATGCATTCTGGTTGCTGCTCACCATTTCATTCAGTCGAGGTGCTAGGCGAAGTGAGAGCAACTTGGAGATCAGCTTTGCAAAGCTGTGGATCATCGTGATTGGCCTGAAGTCCGATGGACAGTTTGCACCAACCTTCTTTGGTAGTAGCACGATCAGTGCATTGTTCAGGCGGTTCATGTTCCTGGTGTTCCCCAGCTCGAACGCGTGCACTGCCTCCATGAGCTCATCTCTGATGACCGGCCATGATGCTTTGTAGAAGGCTCCGGTGAAGCCGTCCGGCCCCGGCGCCCTATCGCTCGGCAGTGCCTTGATTGCCGTCCAAACTTCTTCGGCGCTGAAATGCAGGTCCTGATCGTCCAGGTTGAGATGGTGGAACCCGAGTGTCTCAAAGTTCAGGGTTCGTCCTCCGCCTGCCGCCGAACCAAACACCCCGGCAAAGTGTTTGTGTAGCGCCAGCTCCATGCCGCTATGGTCCTCGGTGATATGTCCGTCGGCCAGCAGTGCCGGGATGTAGCTCCGTTGTTTCCTGCCTCTGGCGATCAGGCCAAGTGTTGGGTTCCAAACTTCCACTGGCTTAATTTCCGTTACGTTACATGTGGCTCCCGCCGGCCGGCCGCCGGTGAATACCGAACTGTCGGAACGAATTTTATTTTGTTTGGCTTCAAGGCAGCCATGTCGTAGTTTGGGTCTTTGGGAGAGAGATTTCTGGAGTTCCGGTACTGGACAAGGTTACAGTACATCAGTAAACTTGGAGTTTTGTTGTCCCAGACACACAAAAAAAACCTCGCGAGCGACAGAGTTCGGAATTTTTTGTAGTAGCTGCATCATTTTCTGATGGCGCCGCGCGGTGGGGCGTCCACCAACTTAGGCCTTGTTTACTTATTTCCCCTAAACTTTACCTCCTATCCCATCGAATATTTAAACACATGCATATAATATTAAATATAGACTAAAAATAATTAATTACATAGTTTGCGACTAATTTACGAGATGAATCTTTTAAGCCTAATTAACTCATGATTTGACAACGCGGTGCTACAGTAACACATGTGCTAATAACAGATTAATTAGGCTTAATAAATTCGTCTCGCGGATTACTTACAGATTCTGTAATTTATTTTTTATTAGTATCCAAACACCTCATACGACATATCATGTAACGCTCGATGTGACACCTAGAACGTTACGCTGGATTTAAACACCAAAACGGCAAAGCCAGCACGAGCGGCAGCGTCAGGCGTTGCCAGGCCGGGGGTCTCCTCCGTCCTCAGTGGACAACAGTGGCCGATCCGGTCCATCATCGGCAGGCAGCGCGCGGCGGGCTCCGTGTCAGCCAAACGAACAGGCTGTCGATCGGCTCCGTGTCAGCCACAACTCGCTCGCAGATCTTTTCTCCCGATCGATCATGGCGTACTACTCCGATCCTACGCTACGCACAAAAAAAACCTTCTCCTGTTTGTTTGTACGTCTGCTACGTGCAACGTGCGTGTGTAAAAATAGCAGGCCGTCTGTGTTCAGAAATATACACAGTAGAGATATATGGTGTGCCCTTTGAAGTCTGAAGAGCAGGGAGACTTTTATGCGTGGCGTGTGTTGAGACATTTCATCGGCGGAAACATACATGTACGTGAGTACAAACAAACTCGCGCGCCTGTCTTTGTCGTTTGGATACGAGCACCACAATTTAAATTAAAAGATAAGTGCACAAAATTAGAAGCGGTGAACGATGGACGCGACAAGTGTCCAATGCAAAACAAACGAACCGCCTCCATGAGAATTCGAACCGTAGTTCGACCAATTTTCAGAATCTGGTACGTGAAGCTCCACGTACGAATGCATGGTCCAAAAAGATCGATTGGATGCATGATCCTTCAGCTCCGGCCTGCCTATTCCACGGTAGTGTGCACGTATCAAGTGTCACGGAGGATGCGTGACACACCAAGGAGAATATATATGGTACAGTTCTAGAGCATATAGGATACGCTCTCGACTCTCGACCGATTCGAATTACGTGGTGCACATGGATATATGCCTCAGCACGCAGCGTTGTGGCTCATCTCTCTGTGCGTGTCGACGAATTACCCATCACAACAAACAGAGTGCCACTGTCCCAGCAACCAGAGGATCAGATACTGTACTACCTCTACTCTCTCTCCCTGCTTCATAGGCATCCACCACAGAGGGCGTACTATGTCTATGGGCTCTGGCATATTGGCACGGACGAGTTGAGGCACCAAGTGCGCCAGCCAGCCAGCCAATGCAACTTGACCCCTCTAGCTAGGTAGCTTAGCCTGCATATATGAAGCAGGCTACAGATAGATAGATAGACCTGCAGGAGAATATGGTGGTGCCACTTACTACTGCTACTGAGTTACAGTGCTCACGCACTAATGCAAGTGTGCATGCACATGATGCACGCACGCGCAGGCACGAATTGAAGCAATGAAGAATCCTGATATATGCTGGTCCGTGAGCAAGCAAGCAACGACGACAGGGGAATCGATCACTTGCAAGGAAGTGCATTTGTTTACCAAGTATAATTATATTACATTTTTATTATATATATAAATCCGCCTGGAATCCATGTTTGAAATCATCGCCGATGCGGCAACATATACGGTGATGGTGGTGACGTGCACTTTTCGACGACCACGTATGTTGCTCCATCGATCATCATGATCTCTGTACGTACGTGTGCAACACGGCAAAGGAATGTGTGTAGTGCAGCTCTAGTTGTTGTGCCATGATCACGGGCGCACATGCTTGGTGGTTTACTAGCGTAAGAGTACTTGTTAGGCTTTGGTCCCTTTGTTTACAACGGAAATAATCATATATAACCCTTTTATTATTTAGGTAATGCTTAGGGTCGGGTTCGTCCGTCCGTCCGATCGGATGCCACTTCCCGGACCTGCGCGTGCTACCAGACCAACAAGCCTGCCTCCTTCTCCGTACGTCTCCTCCATCTCTCTCAAAAATATCTTCATGCTCGCTCGCACGCTTCACAGCGCCGTGCTACCGTCAGCCCGGCCCACTCCGCATTCGCCGCAGCGACCATGTCCTCACCGTGCGCCCTCATCCTGCACTGCTCACTCCTCGCTCCTACTCGTCGCGTGCCCCACCCGCCGCGCGCCCACCCACGCCGTCAGGCGCGCCACGCACCTCTACGGGTGCTGGTGGTGCCGTCACACGTCTTAGGTCAGTCCCCACTGATCCAAGGGCACCCACAAGCACGGCCCATGCTGGTGGTGCTCGCGAGTTGCTACTCGGCGCCGGCTCCCACTTTGAGGCCGAAATCAACTAGCCCTGGCCTCTCCCTCTCCCTATGTGCAACTGTACGTTTCAAGTGTTTCAGATGTTATAAGAGGTATATTGCAAATGTTTTATATGGATGTTGCAAAAGTAGATCAGGATGTTGCAAGTGTTTCAGAGGCATGTTGCAAGCGTTTGTTCAAAATGTTTCATCTGTTTCAGATGTATGTTGCAAGCATTTTTTATTTGGATGTTGCACAAGTTTCACACATATGTTGCAAGAGTATCTTCGAAATATTTCAGCTATTTCAGTCTTATGTTGCAATAAGTATTTTCATGTTGCAAGTTGCAAGTTGCAAGTGTTTCATCTGGATATTGCATATGTTTCACACATATGTTTGAAAGGTCCTAATGGCTACAGAGGGGTGAATAGCCTATAAAAATTTCTACAACAATACTTAAGCCAAGTGGTTAGACAATTATGAAACGAAGCGAGTGTTGTACTAGCCTACTCAAAATTGTAAGCCTCCTGCCCATAATTCTAGTTATCTATGATCTCTATATCACACAAGAGGCTAAGTCACTACCACTAAGTTAGTGAGCTCTCAAAAACAAACTAAAGAGCCTCACTAACCACTAGACAAGACACAAAGCTAGCTCTCAAAACTAAATACACTAAAGAGCTTAGCTACACTAGGAATGTAAATACAAGAGAGGTAGTGAAGTTATACCGCCATGGCAAGAGATGATCAATCAATTACAATGAATACCAAATGAATTCCTCGGAGACAAGATGATGACATAAGATTTTTCACCGAGGTTCACTTGCTTGCCACAAGCTATCCTCGTTGTGGCGATTCACTCACTTGGAGGTCCACGTGCTTATAGGCATCACACGCCTAACCCGCAATCGGGTGCCGCACAACCAACACAAGATGAGGATCACACAAGCCACGGGAAATCTACTAGAGTACCTTTTGGCTCTCCGCTAGGGAAAGATCAAGAACCCCTCACAATCACCATGATCAGAGCCGGAGACAAGCACCTTTCTCCGCTCGACGAACCTTGCTGCACGAAGCTGTCTAGGTGGCGGCAACCACCAAGAGAAACAATCGAAACACATAGCGAAACACAATCACCAAATGACTCTAGATACAATCACTCGAGCAATGCACTTGGATTCACTCCCAATCTCACGTGAAGTCAAACAGAAACCAACAGAGGATCTGAACAAGGATTTTGACCCGAATGAGAAGGTAGGGATAAAGCCTTAGTTTGCAAATTTTGCTAATGCTTTGATCATGTTACAATTACTAACACTTTGACCTCCCGTATATATAGGCCCCTCCTGAGACTCGAAAAAGATGATGTCGACGTCCGCAACATCTCACCGGACAAG